TCAATTTATTAGRTTGCATTAGTTGTACAAATGCGATGAGTTGCATTTGAAATAAACTCTCTCTTTCTATATATACTTACAAATATCATTTTCTGAAAATAAATTTCGTCCCCAATATAATATCCAAACATAAAATTTAAAAAAAAATGAGTATTTTTAATCTAAAGGAGTATTAAATATAACAAGGAAGACTTCTACTACATTACATTTTCACATAATTTTTTTAAAAAACAAAGAAATTATATTGAACTTGGTATCTCTAAATACTATATATTTTGAGTGTGCACAAAATTTGTATTATAATAATCAAAGAAATTTCATACACGACTTAAGGGTGTAAAATGTGTATGTATATATTATATACTAGAAGCGTACTCGCGCAATACAGTGGGATACATCGTGATTTTAATATTTCATTTTTATTCTTTATCTCAGTCGATGTTATAATATGGCTTTATGTGATTTCAAGAAAGTGATGATGTTTTTATTTTTGAATAAAATATATGTTTGAAGATATCATAAAAATTTGACAAAAATATATCGATATTAGTATCAAATTAACTATTTGAAATTCCTCATTTTTTTGTGTAATATTTTAATTCAAATTTTATAATTTAATATATGTACAATAACGAAGTAATTTATATTTGATTTAATAATATAATTTTTTATAATGATAATAATTATTTATTTTGTTGTAACTCGATAATTATTCTAATTATATTTTAGATTTTTTATATTTTAAGATGAGATGTTCATCCTCTATTTGATTATGTTTATCCGCATTTGAACCTCTATGGCTACAAGGGGATTTTTATTTTTCAAAAAAACTTTCATGAAAAGAAGGAAGAAAGCCTAGTTGATATGAGACTTTAACACGGCATAACCACAAATTGTTTTTAAGTGTGGAGTCCTAAAAGTGATAGACATTGGCTTTTCTATCATCTCATAATTTGTAGAATCCCATTGAATTGTACTTTAAAAGATCCCTTAAAAAGCAGGAGAGGTTTCATTTTATATAGAGAAGAATTAGTTTTAAGTCTAGCCGATTTGGAACTCTAATATCTGCATTCAATAAATTCACGATTCCAATGTTTATTAATTATTACATATGTGTGCGTGTTTTTTGTAATCGTGGGTTTTGAGCTGGCTTATGTGCACCATAGATAAACCTTCATGACCACAAGGGTTTTGACAGCTCATGAATTCGAACCTGAGAAAGATGAGATTTCCACAACATTCTGAAAAATTGACCGTAAAAAGTGAAAACTAAGGAACATTCTTTTAACCGTTCATCTGAATAATAAGCACATGTCACTACAAAACAATTGACTTCTACCCATAAAGATCACCCAAGGAAATTTCCGTTATGATTACCGACGGATCACCCGAAAATAACCAATGGTTCGATAGAATTCGATATTTTTCAAGGAAATACCAACCATTACCCAGAAAAACTCTGGGTAATCTGTCACTAATTTGAGTTTTCCACCATCAATTTATTCACCAACTTTTGTGACGGTTTTGTGACGAATCACCCTTTTAGCGACATATTTCACAAGGAAACACTGTAGGTAAAAAGTCATCTATTTATATAGTATAGTGTGCATACAAGTAATAAGCAATTTGTCCGGTATGCACATGTTCATAACATGGAGCGAGGCCGTGATGGAAGAGATCAAACACGGGAATAAGAAGTAATTCCATTACCTTTTTCTTCATTTTTCTAGAGGGGGATCAGCAGCGCTTGGCTGGAATAAGAAAATAAGGAAATTGGGTCGGGTTTAGTCATTCATTCTTGCTTTTTTGGGATTGAAGGAGAAATTACAAGCAAGTCGTGTTTGGAGCGAACGAATTACCTCCTTTGAAAAAGAATTTTTTTGGTTATGGCCGATACCTATTGTTGTCAATGAAAAGATCTACCTGGAAAGGGAAAACAAGATCGGATAGTTGGGCAGGTGCTCCCCTTTGGGTGTGGCTGTGTATGGATAAGCTAAGGCACCTTAGTGTGCAAGGGGCTAAGTCGTTCATTCAAGGACCAGAGCTTTCATCTGAATTCCCCTATGTTCACTCGCAATGCACCCTTTGCTTTGCTTGAGTTGAAAAACTTCTGACCCGCATCCAGATCCCGGAATTCGCTTTCTTCTTTGATTCCGCTTTCTCCGCTCAATCTTACACTTAAAAAAAGAAGTTCACCAGCAAAAGACGATTTAAGATTACTTACGGGCTACTTATATATCGATTAAGAAATCGAATGAGGGATTGGGATGTTAATATTATTGATAAGATAGCTTGGCATCCAAACTATATCAATGATTGTGATCCTCATTGTGTAGTGTACATAATTCGTTTTAGGATCTACCAAAGATGGTAGGTATAGGGCATCTAATAAAAAAAATTCATATACTGGATTTTCAGTTGAAAGCTAACTGCTCGCTTTTGAGGGAAGTAGTGAGCCCCTCAAGAGCACTCTATCGGTCATAAAATCAATCAAAAAAGAAAAAGCAGACAGGAACAGTTTGATTCTCTAAACAAGCAGGTTTGGGGTTCTTTTTTTAACACCCTAATTCTCTTGTTTGTTGGCTTTAATACCATGAAATAAAATAGAGAAAAAGACCTTCAAGATAATAACCATTTTCAAGAGACAAACTCCASTGAACCACTTTCCTCCTCTCTTCTATGCACACGTGTATAAAAATCACGAAACAACTTCAATTACTTATATACATACGTAGATACCATCCAGATGAATTGTTACCAAGATATTCTTTTTTTTTTTTTAATTTTTTAGTGGTTTTCCTCCAAACCCCGCTCTACTATATAAAAAAAATTCTAAGACAAATGTTCAAAATCCGGAAAAGGGATATATTTTTTTTTTTTTTTATCAACCTGGATATCAGGGACGGACCCAGAAATTTTTTCAAATGGTGGCACCATATAATTAATATAGTATAATATACATCTAAAAATAATTACAAAAAATATGGTTTTTATAGTACCGATAAACAACTCCTAAACTTGTACCCGACGCGTCTTCATCTTTTGAAAACGGTCAATATATACCCAAAAATAATTATAGAAAGTATGGTTTTGGTTATTTGGGTTTTGTTTTGTTTGGGTTTTAGTTGCACTATTTGGATTTCAGGGAAATACGGTGGCACCTTCTAAAATACAAGTATCACTATTAACAAACCTAATTTTTTTACCCTTCGGCCACGAAATAATACGGTGGCATGTGCCACCCATGCCACCACACCAGGTCCGCCTATGTTGGATATCCAACCCGTTATGTGAGCCGACTAATCTCAGGGCGACCACTTGCTTTGCAGATAGTCTGGAGTCACCGCATTTGAACCTCCATGGCCACAAGGGGATTTTTATTCCTCCTTGAATTTGAACCTGAGACCTCCTGATGTTTTTGATCTCTGAAGTCAAACTCAAACCAATCAAACACCACAATTGATTGATATATGTTTATTTTCAAAATGGGCGTGATAAAATTGACAGTAAAGGAGTTGCATTTGCATGGTGAAAAACTTTACGTAAAAGTGCCTAAAAACAAGGACAAGAGCATGCAGCAGCCACGACAATTGGATTAGTCAAAAGACTACTGCTTTATTGCCCTTCCACGTACCCCCTACCTCCATTATATATTTATTTTTTATCCATTACATATAAATAAGCATTTTCTTCACCCTATAAATTCTAAGATCCTTCCACAAGTTCCACAAAACTCCATACCAATTTCCAGATTAAACACAGAAACTTGAAGATACGGGTTTCCATCTCTTTAATAAGACGTATAGACTGGAATCTGTTTCTTTGGCTTATTGAGAAAAGAGATGGGTAATCCTAAGGCCAATAAAGAATGTGTCGTTCCGGCTTCTAATTCCACGATCATCTCAATTCCACCACCACCACTGGAACATCCTTCCCCTTCTCCAGCCAATTCCATTCCGATGACCCCCAAAAGTCCCTTCATCACACGAGTCATGACTCCATTGGCTAGCCCCATGAAGAAGGCCATGGCAACCATGCAAGGCTACTTGGAGTTGACTAAGCTCAACCCACACGATGAATGGCTTCCCATCACGGAATCAAGGAATGGAAACGCCTTTTACGCAGCATTCCATACCCTCAGCTCCGCAATCGGAGTTCAAGCACTTGTTCTTCCCCTTGCCTTCACTGCACTTGGCTGGTACGTACGCTCACTTTACTTAACTCGCTTTAAGTTCATCTATTAACCAAATTTAAACACCATCTATTCCATCCAAACAGTGATTTGAGACTTGTTTAACTAATTTTGATGCTTGAATCACGTAATTATGAATACTAATTACAAGTGTGTTTTAAATTGATGATTTGCATGCAGGGTGTGGGGGATAATGAGTTTATCAGTGGGTTTTGCGTGGCAAATGTATACCCTCTGGCTTCTGATTCAACTCCATGAATCACCATCTGGGACACGATACAGCAGATACCTATGGCTTTCCATGGCTGCTTTTGGTATATATATTCACTTTCAATACTCCTAGATCTCGGTTAATAACTACATAAAATACAAACTAAATAAATAAAATCTTGTTTCAAAAGCCCGTAACTACCCTACTCGGTTGCTTAATCGTATGTTCGACTTAATTATCTACATTTTCATTTCAAACTATCAATCGAACGTTGCAATAAGTTTACAACAAGACAGATGGTAAAAAGTTGGCTTTTTTTAATGATGGAATGGAAATTAACACAGTACTAACATGTGGATTCGACTACTGTTAATTGTATGCATCAGGTGAGAAATTAGGGAAGCTGATGACATTAATACCAACCATCTATCTTTCGAGTGGAACGTGCATAACCCTTATCATGATTGGAGGAGCCACCATGAAACTATTCTTCACCACCATCCGTGGAGAGGATTCCCCATTATCGATGATCGAGTGGTACCTGGTTTTCACTTGCTCGGCAGTTGTCTTAACACAACTCCCAAACCTGAATTCCATGGCAGGGGTTTCGTTGATTGGGGCCATTGCTTCGGTCTCGTATTGCACCGTCATATGGGTGGTGTCGCTTGTTGAAGGTAGGCCGGCAGGTGTCTCTTACGACCAGCCGGAGGAGGTATCTGGAGTTGCTAGGGTCTCTGATGTTCTAAACGCCCTTGGAATCATTTCATTTGCTTTTCGAGGCCACAATTTGGTGCTTGAAATACAGGTAATTGGTTAAGTGCATCATAGAATAGCCAACTTTTCAAGATATAATCCAATTCCCAAAATACCCTCGTCCATGTTTTGTCGTTATAATAATGTTGCTTTATTCCCAAAATACCCTCGTTCAAAACTTATTTGGATGACACGTCAAGGTCCAGTATTTTGGGGCAACTGGATTGGTTATGCTTTTGTTAATCGAACCTTCCTATGGATTTCGTATTTTCGTAGCAAACTCATTGTTTATATTTTCAATACTATGATTTAATTAATGTTGAGTTATAAATTATATAGGGTACAATGCCTTCAAAGCTAAAGCAGCCATCGCGTGTACCAATGTGGAAAGGAGTGAAGTACTCGTATCTCATCATCGCAATCTGCCTCTTCCCTCTCGCGATCGGTGGCTACTGGGCCTATGGTAACATGGTAAGAATAACAAGACCATCTCTTCCGAATCTCAAACGGATCTTAACCTTATACGTCTCTAAATTACTGTATACACTTTACCGGCTTAAACCACGTACCATGTACTAGAATCTTATGCATGTATGTCGATGCAGATGCCTACCACCGGAGGAATGTTAACTGCATTGTACAAATACCATGGACAATCGACTTCACTAGCGATCCTAGGGTTAACAAGCATGCTTGTCATCATCAACAGCCTCACCTCGTTCCAAATCTACGCAATGCCGGTTTTTGACAACCTAGAGTTGCGATACGTGAGTAAAATGAACGGGCCATGCCCATGGTGGGTGAGAGCAGGATCTCGGGTTTTCTTCGGGGGCCTAGCGTTTTTCGTAGCAGTTGCACTTCCGTTCTTGCCGAGTCTAGCAGGTCTGATAGGAGGCATTGCACTACCTGTGACGTTTGCGTATCCATGTTTCATGTGGATCGTGATGAAGACACCCGAGAGGTTTAGCAAAATGTGGTGGCTCAATTGGATCCTCGGATGCCTAGGGATGATCTTAAGCATGCTACTTGTTTTCGGAGCCATATGGACGATAGTAACCCGAGGAATTGAAGTCCATTTTTTCAACCCAAAGTGAAAATTAATTAACCACTCGATGTATGTAAATGAAGTACAACTACCTAATGCATTAATAGTCGTACAACACAACTGCACAAGCACTTAAGCTTTCAGGGCTGACAAAAATGTAAGATTTAGTTCGTCTATTATATATAATTGGTTTCAACATATCTTCATGTTATATGGGCCCCACAGTTAAGAATTTAGGGGTGCACAAAACCCAGAAACCAAACCTCATGTCTAATCCTTCAAATCATAGGTATTGGATTGGAACGAGGTTAGGGTCATTTCAACCTAACCCAATAAACCCATTGCCTCTCTATTCCTAAGATTTAATATGATTGTTCCCTAATAAATATGTACATTAGACATTTGACCAGCCCTTAATTAGCTATTTCCGTAAGTGTATCGTAATTCCACCGCTAATTGATTAAAGTATGTTGTGCAGTGATTTTATGTCACAACCCAACTCACACGGGTTGGTTGGGTTGGGCTATGCTTTAAACTTCTTATAACATGTTGAGATCTCTCAAACCCCACTAATTAGGTTGGGTTGTCTAAAAAGCCTTCAAACCGGCCAACACAACACATATGCAGCCATAGTTATGATATTAGGGGTTGTTTACTACCTTATCTTTAAGTGCTTACCACCTCTCACCTTACCCGGTGAGAGATGTTGTTCCCTTTTACCAGTCCATGAGGTTGGCCTAGTAAGGTAAGGGAAAGACTATTCCTCGGTCAGTTGTTAGCGCTCACCCAAATCGCACTCTTACCCGTTTAACATTACCCGACTTGTGTTGGTAAATGGCCCCCTTAGTTATTCTCCGACCTTGTAAACAGGTTCCACAACATGAAAAATGTTAAAGGAAACCTAAGATATACCAACACAACAGTGTATGAAGTTGCAGTGTGTATAAAAACAATGCTACTACAGGATATGCTCAAATTAGAAGTCAACATAACAAATAATCAGCATACATAGGAGAACATGAAAGAGAGTCCAATTTTGGATGAAATCTGAGAGAACACTATCAATTTCCATTCTTTATCATTCATTTGCTTCAACTGCAATTACACAACAGAATAAACCAAAAAAAAAGAGGGGATAGACCTTGGAAATGGTCAAAATTTGTTGCAAATTTACACAACGAAAGTTGGGGTCGGGGTGACATCAAATTGTTAGTGTTTCTACATGGATAAAGGAAGAAGCATCCTTCGTTTCTTTTTCTGGGCCAGTTTTATACGCTTTGTTACCTTCATAGATAATAGCAGTAACAATGTGATGGTTGCCAAAACAAATCCAAGTCTCAAGTGCCGGAAATACAACGAAACTGCCGAGAAAACCAAAAAAGCTAGAATCACAAGTTCCCAAATTACGAACACCACTACATCCACCCTGCACATTCAGGTAATCAAAAGAGGGAAGTCTTCAAACAAGATTCCTTTAGCAAATTGAAAAAACGCATCATGATAATAATCTTGAAGAAAAGGTTGAAAAATAACAAAAATAAATTCATTACAACAAAAATAAGGATTTCAAGATACAGAGTTGGGATGACAAAATTGGATAGGTTAAGATCATGATTGTCTCCATTCTGCGTTCTCCATTATGTGGTCCTATCACAAGTACTTCTCACAACAAGTAAATGGAATCCATAATCATATCTTTTATATCTTCCTACACCATGTCGGTGGACACATAAACTAAAAATGTTAAATGCTCAAAATGAATAGTTGACACCTACCTATTCAAGCAGGAGGGCGAAAAAGATATGAGACAGGAATGGTTCCTCAAATGTACTCAGTTTGTCTGAGAAAAAATCCACCAAGAAATCTAGAAGGAATATAGAAATAGGTTTTTCAGTGTTCTAACTTCTAGCAAAGGCGTGGCTCAAACTTCTTGAGTTCAGTCACAAGTATTTGAATGTTCATGAAATAAGCAATTTAAAAATATTGATCAGGTTCTAGTGAGATGTTTGCATCACTTGGCCAATCTAGGCATCACACTAAGAGCAATCGAGCCCATGAGAAATGATTTAGAATTCCATGGTTCAATGGCTCATAGCCTCTTCCATTGACAGATCAAATAAATGATTTACATGCATACTAAATACTAATACTATAACCATGTTTCTTTTGTATTTGTTTTCTTATGCCAACTGGAGACTCAAAGATCATGCTACTAAGTTTTGGAAATGGTTGGAGAAACAATATGATCATTGAATTTAGTTCACCTACAAAGGAGGAAGACCTTGAATTCAAGTATAACTCATACACCAACTCTGTTGAAGACCATAAATAACAATAGTCTCATGGATCCCTTAAATATACAGTCTAAAATTTTACCGTTGACCATGACAAACTCACAAAAGGACAATTGTCTCCATAAGGTGTTGTATAGTAGAGTAATTACCAGCGTCCTCTTCAATGTATATGGATACCAATGATATCAACTTGGAAATAAAATAATATGTCATGCATCTAAATTTTATCAATAGCGGCGATGTGCGAATAAGTCAACAGAAGTAGTGCATGAGGAAGCCAAACAAGAGGGCTTTAGAAAAAGTATCACCACCATTAGATTTAGGCAAGGTTTACTTAATGTTGGTAGCACCATATATAGCAGAAGGCTTCTCAGTGCTGATGCTCCTAATATCTCACCAAGTGTAGACTCTAACAAGTTAACTGTAAATCTTGTTTCTGAGGAGATTCTTGAAGAAACTTGATCATGGTACTTCATATTTGATGTGTAATTATCACACTTCTTCTAGCCTTGATGCTAATGCTAATTCATTTAATAGTCTTGACGATTGTGTCCTCCTATGGTTACTTTGGATGCACCCTGTGTTCCACTTACTGGTAAGGTCTTCTAATATATAGAGGTGTAAATTTCCAATTAATGATTACACGAAATAGAGTTGTAACCTAGAGGTACAATCCCAGTTAATGATTACACAATGTTGAGTTCTAAACCATAACATAAAAAGTAAAAAAACAAAGTATTTCCATCTGCAAATCATTCTCCTACTTTAGGATTTGGAACAAATTAACATCCAGTGAAATTGGAACACATAGTCTAAAGGTAACTTAGCATTTTTATTAATTTCAGAAAACATATACGTTATCTACAAATTGTCTAAGGGTTGAAGTTGTATGGTTTAAGCATCTTAACCTTTACAATACAAATAGCATAAATGCATAATTACCTTCAAAAAAAAATTCACAGGTAGGGGAACTGGGAAGACATAACTATCAATAAACAAAATTTCTCATATGATCCTGCTTCTAATAAGCAAATACAAAAGCGTACTCTAAAATCATTAGCTAACGGAAAATTATGACTTGAATACTAATTTCAAACATTGTAATTTCCACAACTAAGGTAGAAATTAAAATGCAAGTTGCAACTATACAAATTCTGAAAATATACAGTACCTCCATGGCTCCATCCTACCATAATCCAAATTCAATTCAAGGACTAATTTTCAACGTTGGGCATTTTTCTAATCCACGTGTTTGCAATGAAACTTAATCCACATCTATTTTTCTCACAAAAATCTAAAGATCTAAATATTTTTTTTCTAGTTTAAAATTAGTTTGCAGTTCGCTTGACTACAACAGTGATAGAAATCCCTCCTACAAATGCGTCCACATTTTTCTAATTCAAGTATTTGTCACAAAGTTTGATGAAGTCATTTAAAATTTCCCAGGAAGTTAAAGAATTTACTAAACATCCCTTGAAGTTGAAATTAGTATTGTCATGGGTGAAAATATATCTCTTTTCGTGTATGGATAGGCTATGAATCTGCTTGAATGTTTGAAGCTAAATCCTTAGTTATTCCTTATTCATGTTTCCATATACTACAAACTCCATATAAGAAGCCAAAATCCGTATGCAAGTATATACATGAGTACTGGCTCAATTGCAAAATACGAGTCAAAATCGATTATCAAAAAGCAAAGAAATCAGTTTAGATCACACATAACAATTAATAAGTAAAATAATTATAATCCTACTTCTATCAAGAATTTCAGCTATTAGAAAGTACAGCCTAATTCTATCAAGAATCTCTGTATTATGAAGTACAACCGTAGCTCTCACAAGAATTGCCCTATGGGAATGCATAACTTGGTTCTATCATTCTGAAGATGCGATCTTCCTAACCAAGCAATCATCATAGGTCACTTAAACAAATGATTGAAAAGTCATGAAACTTCCTAACCAGGCAACCATTGTAGGTCACAAAAACAAATTCAATGAGAAGTTACCAAGGAAATGAAGCCAAGAAACCTTAATCAAGCATAAAGAAACAAAAATTAAGCCAACGTCGATGCCAAAAAAACACCGCCATTTTTCTACATGTAGGAAATGAAGCCAAGAAACCTTAATCAAGCATAAAGAAATGAAAATTAAGCCAACGTCGATGCCAAAAAAGTACCGCCATTTTTCTTATGAGGTTAAAATTCATTCCTGGTTCCTCTACGCCTTAAAACTCAAAATTGCGATCTCTTTTTTTGCGGAAGGATGGGAAATTGAGAATACGAAAAATTACATTAATACGAAACCGTAACCGTACAGAAGACAATCGATTCGCAAAACAGAAACCCTAAGAGATAGATATATCACCTGGAGGAAGAGAGATTTGAAGTGGAGGAAAAGAATGAGACGGAGGCCCAATCATGTTTCGATCGAATTTGATACTCTCTGAGCTGGTCCACCAGATTTGATCGCGTAATTCTTTTCTCCTGTTGCACAGGATTCGACCGTGGCAACGACGTCACACCTCCGCCATCAACCCCCTCGCGATCTACAGATCTAAATAACTTGTCTTGCTGCAAAGAACTCGACCGCGGTATCATCTTGACAGTTCCAATCCCACGCCGCTCTCTATCTACAGATCTATATAGGTTTGGTTGGTGCATAGGATTCGAATGTATGAGGTAGCATCCGCAGGTAGTCGGCGGCGATGAAAAAGTGTATAATTTTCAACTACCGGCGGATGAAACAGGAAGGGCGGAAGGGGGAGAGGGTCCGTGAAGTGTCAACGACCCTTTCTTTCTCCCTTTGTTGCCAAATGACACATGAACCCTCGTAATTTTGATGGACTCCAATCCAAATGCTTTGAGAATGGAAACCACCAAAAAGGACATACCTGTCCTTATAACATGCTTCACCAGCCATTCCCCACCCAATTCCGTATATACTCCACGTTTCTCAAAACAAGCCTCTAATTCTTTTTTTTATTTAAATAAGTATCTATACTACCTTATAAATCAGATTTATTAAAAGTTTTGAAAATAATTTTTAATGCATAAAGTATTATATATTTATGTACAAAGTCTTAAAAACAATTTATAATGCATTAAGTACTATTATTTTATGCATTCAGTGTTAAAATCTCTTAATCTACAATTAAAATAACATATTGTACAAGTTACCAATGCACATTGTTACATTTTATTTTCATGTTCCCCAAGATATTTTTGACACATTTCACTCATGTCTTCACCCTCTCATACCTCTATGTTTTCTCCCCATCCCCCAATGTGAGATTCAAACTAATATTCACCATGAGTTATTAAAAGTTCTTTCATTCATCTCTCATTCAATTGCTCTAAACGTTCGGTCTCGCTCTCGATTTCTTGATTCTTTGTTCTTGATATAAATTCGAACACATTTGTGGAATCGTTTAAATATGTTGGATTTTAAACCGTCATACAATTTTTTTTTTCATTGATAGACTGTAATTAGAACCATAACTCTTATTTATTCAAATTGTATTAGTATGTATAGACCAAGTGTAACTTATACCGTCGTTAAATCTTTTCTAATAAAATCAGTGAAACTTCAAAATCGTTAAAATTCAAGTATCCCGCCGCATTGCACGGACACACAACTAGTCTATTTTTAAAAGTAAATATCTAGTTTATGCAGTTCTTTTTATTAATTAAAAAGTATAATAATCACATGTTTTTATAATTGTGTTTTTTTATTATGGACATTTATTTTGAAACTGTAGAATTGTTATAAACAAGTGTAAAGCTCGTTGGAGCATAAAACATCTTTATCTCGTTTCTTCTATTTTATTTAATAAATTTGTGTATTTTGAGATATCGAGAGAGATTTTGTTGGTTATCAGTTGTCGGATATTTTAGTGAAATCACCAGGCTAATTTATGTAATTGGATTCACAAAATAATTGTAACACCCGGAAAATTTTCCCCTCTTTCCCAACTTTGTGCACGTCATGGGTTTTTGTCTCGTTAAAA